CACAGGCCCGAACGCCCTCTTCTTATCATACATTATCAAAACCCCATACAAACCGTATCGATTTTCGACCCGGCGCTGCGGCTGCCCAGCACAAGCGCGTCTAAGCGACCAGAGCCTCCTGCTATCTCCTTCGACCTGCCTTTGTCGCATCTCTCGCAGCTCTTGGCGCCTCGGTGCCCCTCTATCTGGACGGAGGGGTACGGTGGCCGTAGATGGGAGATAGTCTCGTAACAGATATGACGGCCCCCGTGGGCAAGGCAGAGGCTTCGCGCGATGGTTCGACCGACTCTATCGGATCGTCGCCCGAACCTGGTCTGGCGGAGACATATACCCAGGAAGAGCCCCAGCAGCAGAAGCGCAAAGGCGGCCGTAAACCTGTGAGCCTTCCTGATGCCAATTGCCTTGCCTGTCATGGCTGCAGCAATTGAATCGCCAATCACTATGTCGAAGATAGGACTAACCAAGCGTCGTAAGATATATGCCACCTCAGAGGAGCGCAAGCAGCGCAATAGACAGGCGCAAGCCGCCTTCCGTGAGCGCCGTACAGAGTACATCAAGCAGCTCGAGAGCACCATAAAGCACCATGAGGACACGCTGCAGAACCTGCAGAACAGTCACCGCAACGCCGCCGACGAGTGCCTTATGCTCCGGTATAAGAATTCTCTACTCGAGAGGATTCTGCTAGAGAAAGGTAGCCCCAATCTTATCAAGACGTCTATTTATCAGGGTACACACGCTAACCTCTTGCTCCACCAGGTATCGACGTCCAGGCCGAGCTGCGCGCGAAGACTGGCAGTCCAAACCTGGGGCCGACCAGAGCCCCAGCGTCTGCACACACCTCGCCCAACCAGGCGCCTCTCCAACAACGTGCTATATTGAACAGACAACAACAGCGGCGCTCGCTCCAAGGCCCGCCCAAGGTTGATAGCGTCAATGGCTTGCCCATGATACAGCCGGATGGGCCGATTCAGCGTTCACCACTGTCGCAACCCACTCCTGGCTCGCATCTCTCGTCGCCTGCTCAATCAGCAACGCGCTCGCCCAGCTTCATACCTCATGGTCAATCAGTGTCTCCCAACTTTGGGCCCATACCTCCACAGCAGCAGCAGCACCAACAGCAGCAGCCGCTACGGCCACAGCCGCCTAGATCAAACTTTACTCCCATGATGGGTGCTCAGCGCCCTTCGCTTGTAACGAACCAGGCTCCAGCAAATGGCATAGCAAGCGCGTCTACTGTTGGCAGCAACGGTAACGGCATAACTCAGAGCAGTGGTCCTACGTCTTTCTACCAGACACAGTTCACGGACCACATGAGTCAACTCGGCAAGCTGACCCGTTTCCTATCCCCTCTTAAGTATAGGGCTTTGTAATCCTAGGCTGATTTCGTGTTACAGAGCAGGAGTACGAGGAACAAGCCGACTCCTACGACCACGACGACCCAAGCGAGCACTCCGCTGGCCCTGGCCCGTTCCCGCAACAGAACTTCCCGCCTTCGAACAACATGCCACCACCGATGCCGCCCTCGCAGAACCCACCCTTTACGAGCCCAGCAGCTTTGGCGCCCAACGACGGAGGCCATGCCTACAATGGCATGAGCAACAACCACCTCTTCGACCCGTACGATCCTATGCTTGACGCCGACCCCTTTGGACTGTCGGCCAGCATGCACTTCCCCACGATGTATGAGAGTAGATGATGATATGAGGAGAGGATAGGAAGAGGGGGCTATTATGGAGTTATCAGGGACCGAATTGCATCACCGCCGACTGATACCCTCCCATGACGTTGTTTAGCGGGCGCAACAACTGCTTTTACCCAATCGACAATGTGTCACGATGGTACGATGGCGTTCAACACGAGACCACGAGTCTCGATACGGGGGAATTCTACAAAAAGTTATCATTCAACCTGGGGCAGGTTTACGACATGTGTATTTGTGATGGAAATTGCTTGGGGTTATTGCTATGGACGCGGGTGAATATTTCTCATCCATACGTTTCACTCTGGCATCGCTGCCGTCTAGTGACACTGGAAGGCGGGACGATGCTTTGTACATATTGTAATGCAGTCGGCCGCAACTATCGAGTCAATGTTGCACCCCCCTCATATTCCCACAACGCCGTGCCAGCGCCCATGCCCTTTGCCAAGCCAGGCATTTTTACATCTTGCGACACTATAGCAACGCGGTCGCATTCGGGAGCTGCATTGGAAGCATTCACAATTGCTTTTCCTTACAAAAAGCATTGCATGTGTGAAACAGCCTCGGAATGACGTGCGCTTGAAGGCGCATTCGAATCAATCACTGACACATCAGCGGCGCAAGAGCTGCAAACTGACGGGCTGGTTGCAGTGAATACCATGTACCTCGAGATTTTGTCTTGAGCTTCCCTCGCACAAGAATGGAGTGAAGCGCTGTATGCGGCAAGAACCGCAGCGCTCATGTTTCTTTGTGCCTCCAATAGTCTTAGCCCCACTACACTCGCTTACGGAAGCAACCCACGGCCATTTTCGATTGACCAAAACCTCGTGCCCGCAACATCGCGCTATCACCCCGTTCGCGAGTCAACTTCTGAGAGCCACGTCCCTAAAATCTGTAGGGCAAGCTCTCGCATTCTTTTTCTCTCCCGGCAGATTGTGCATCTAGAAGGGCAAAGCGCGAAAGGCGCTCCAATCCGTCAAGATGTCGCAAATTGCTTCCAAGGTAAGCTACAACTCACCCCACCATCAGGTCCGGCTTCGCGCCTTCCATTGAGGGCTGCGAGAAGGCCTGCACCGCAGTAGACAGCTTCAAGATGCTAATTACAACTGCAGAACATTTACGAGCTGCTGGGTATGTCGCAGCGCACAGCACAGGCACCGAACTCTCACTCACGACCCCGCAGGCAATGACCCCGAGCTCGACCCCGACAGGCCGGCTGACCCACCGACGAGGGCAATTGAGAAGCCCGTCATGAGGCACGGCAAGCGCGAGGGAACCGATGCCCCCAAGCCCATGCCCGAGAGGATGAGCAACCAGAACCGTGCCAAGCAGTCCGACAACGCCAACGACAACGGTACGTCGGATACAAGGAGCAACCCCCATGCTCTACACTCTTCGGGGAGGTTCAATGGACAACGGCTAACGTAGCACAGCATTCCGGGATCGCGGCGTCGGCTCTGACAAGAACCGCGGCAGGGGATCTGGCGGTGAGTGCCCTGTCAATGGTCAATTTGTACCTATACTGACGTTCTGCAGAGCCTACCAGCACTGGAGGTCGTGGTGGACAACGTGGCCGCGGTCGCGGTGGACGCGGAGGTCGCGGAGGCGCTGCTCAGGGTGACCGTCATAGCAGGACTGGCATCGCGTAAGAAATCCCACATCATATCACGGCCATGTCTAACAATCTCCAGCGAGCACGACAAGCAGGCCGCACACGGCTGGGGCGGAAAGGACGGCGATGCCGAGTTGGCTGACGAGCAGGCTGGAGAGGCCATGGCTCAGGCTGAAGAGAAGGACGCCATCAAGGAGGACGCCGAGGGCGAGGCCGATGCCGAGCCTGAGGACAAGAGCAAGTCCTACGCCGCCTACCTCGCTGAGCTCGCCGAGAAGAAGCTCTCTCTCGCCGCCCAGAACGTCCGCAAGGCCAACGAGGGCAGCAGCACCAAGTTCCCCGAGGGCACTGCTCTCGCCCGTGAGGAGCAAGAGGACTTCATGGCCGGTTCCCAAGGCAAGGCTAAGCGCGAGCGCGCCCGCAAGGAGAAGGTCCACGTCGAGCTCGACGGTGACCGCATGCTTGCTCCCCCTCCCCGTGAGGGCGGCAGCCGAGGAGGACGCGGCCGTGGCGAAGGCCGTGGCGAGTTCCGCGGTCGTGGCCGTGGCGGCGGTGAGTTCCGTGGCGAGGGACGTGGTCGCGGCGAAGGTCGTGGCGAGTTCCGCGGACGTGGCCGTGGCGGTGAGGGTCGTGGACGTGGCGAGGCCCGTGGTCGTGGAGGCCGCGGCGGTGCCCAGTCCAACATCAACATCACCGATTCCAGCGCCTTCCCCAGCCTGGGCGCATAGATTGCGTCAACCTTGGTTCCGGCCTGAAAACAGGACATACCTGCATCCGACAGTCAAGTGTGGATGAAATTCACGAATGAATAAGCTATCTCACGACGGGACGAGCGAACGGAGAGCGAAAGCACAATATCAAGGAATCTCGATCAGAGATGTCGGCGGGCTAAAATACTTACATCTACCGGTACCACGAATGTAGTGAACTTGAGCTCAACCTTTGCAAGTGTTTTGATTCCCCGGTTGGTCTTCTCACGTGTGGTAGTTCGTTTCTATGAACAAGAATAAAAAATTGTATCTGATGATTGTGTGTACCTTGATGGCATCCTCACGCTCTTGTCACACCGATAAGGAGTGCTTATAGGAAGGACTAGTGGTACTCACGTTATCACGAGGCGTGCTAGAATGCTAGATTCCAAACTGGGTCTATGGAGTATCATGAGACAGCTCAGCACTCAGTGTGGGAAATGAACAGAGTCTAAAGTCGTAGGCATGTAGCATGTATATGGGTGAACAAAGGTACTGAGACAGCAGGGCCATAGAGGTGTGGAAAGATTGACGTCGCTTCCTTAAACGAAGATGATACAACTCGATATAACCACTCAATCATACTACGAGGACGAAGCGTGAAATACTTCAATGCGCAGTGGCTGTCTGAGAAAGCATGTAATCGCTGATCGAGACGCATACATCGCCGCAAGACTTCTACACGATCAACGTGCAACCCCATGGTGTTCTCCAGCACTGCTCATCATTTTGAAGTGCATAGAAGGGTACTTCAGTTACTTGCTACACGCCGTTCGATGATAAGTGTTCAAATCTCCTCATTTGAAAAGCGCCTTGAAACTACAGAAGGAAAGCCGTATGCCCGCAACGCCCCTGCAGTTCAACGCCAAATTCCCCATGCTAATAAATGCTGCAAAGCCCCGTGTAAAGTAAGAGAGAAGTACGGAAAGATTTAGGCCTCTCACTTCCCCTCTTCAGCAGCCAAGATACCTTCTTTGCACGATGCGCACACGAGTAAGGCGCAGTTAACGCACTCATGGGCGAGACTGAACTTCATGGAGAAGATGTTCGATGGGGCATTGAAGGTAGCCTGAGCCTTTCTATCCGCTCGTGGAGGAAGGACATCAGTGACGAAAGATGCATCGGATGCTCGACGTCGAAGCTCGATCTCTGATGTCGCGATGATGTTGCCGTAGGTATCTACTACCCGGTCGGGGTCGGAGTACACAATGTCTTCCATGGGCGATGCTTCGCGGAGGGATGCACTCTGGGATGGCACGCTTTGAGATAGTGGAGCGGTGATGGTGGTGGTAAGGTGAGGTGCTGTTCCAATGGCGCCACCTAGTTGGACGAGTCCGCGGGGAGGTATATATCGTCGCCCCCCTCGTCTTCGTCCTGTTCCTCGTCCGTGGCCTCTCGCGAATCCTGCTGGAGCCCTTGTTGCTGCGCCTGCTGGTACAGTCGACACTCTAAGTTTGCCTTTTGACGGGGCATCTGGTGCTTCGATCTCTGGATGTATGGAACACCAGCATTTTACGCATTCCATCTCAGCCGCGGAATCGTTGACCAGAGCTTTTGCGAGGGGAATTCTGTAGGTTTCGAAGCTGTGGTCACAGTTCCATGAGCGGTCCTGGTAGTCCTCTCCTGGCTCTTCACCAAAGTCTAGATCTTGATCCTCCCAGTAACGAGGCCCTCCAGCATCAAGATTACGTGGAGGCGCTGGCTGTGGCGTGGACATCGCTGCTGCGCCAACAGTCTCTTGCGCTTGAGATGTCTCGTTGGATAGCGCCGATGCATCGTTCGTGCCAGATGGAGACTCGCCCTCATCAGACTCCGTGATGTTGCCGTCACTGCCGTCGTCTTCCCCATATTCATTACACGCTCCACCACAGTCCTCCGGCTCGTCCATGCACATGTAGCAGAAGTGCGCTCCACATCGACACTCCATGTGCAGACAACCGTACATTCGTTTCAGTCCATGACCGCACTTTGGACATCTCTTGTATCCCCAGCTCTTCAGTAGCTCTGTGGTTTCTGCGTCGATGCCGAAATCAGAGATATTGCATATAGCGTCAGGATGAGCGATTTGCCGACACTCGAGACAGATCTCAGCTGAGCAGGTTGGACACGCAAAGACGTTCAACGTTGGCGTTCCAACACCAGAGTCAGCGCGCTTCCCTTGCTTTTTCGTTGCCTGATCGGGCAGGAGTCGTTCTGGAATGAAGGCCGAGCATATTGGCACTGGACAATAAAATGGATTTGGTGTGAGCCACTCTTCGTACTTGGATTTGAACTCTGTGAACTCCTCCTTCGTAAGATGCGGTTTTGCGTAATGGATTGGGATCTGTCCGCAGCACCTTGGAGGCATGCGCGTGGTATCTTTGCAGCATTCGGTGAACATCCTCTTGATGCACGACCCACAGTATGTACTGCCACATTGTCTGCATGGCTTCACAACCTCCTTTGAGTGCTTCGGGCTTTTGGAACCTGGTAGCTCCGTACAGCATATGATACATTGTACTTCTGGTAATGGTAAGGTAAGAGTGGGCTTTGCTGGTGGTGGAAGAGGCGGGGGCATGGTAATCGCGGGCGGGGGTTCAGGGTCGGTGTGATCGTGTTGGATAGACATGAGTCGACGCTCTTCTAAGAAGAGAAGGAACGAAGTGGTGATGTGTGGGGCTTGTTCCATAGCGATGGAAGGTGGAAAAGTTGCGAATGTTGTTGCGGGCGCGCTGTTGCGTCTTTGCGGAATAACTGGTACCGTGGTAGAGGTTGCAACGTTGATATCGTCGTAACAATAAGGGTCTGAGACCCGTGATGTGGCCTCTTGGCATTGCGTTTGTGCGTTTGCATGGTCAATGTCGTGATGTTGGGCAGTTGCGACTGGCGAGGCAGCAGCCTGCACGTGCGGCCGTACCGCTCGAGAGAACTTGGAACCCATACTAAACGAGATGGCTTATGCTACTGTGTCACATAGGGATTTCGACAGTATTACCTTAAATAGAGAACAGCATGCAGTTAGATGTGCGAGGTTTGACTCAAGGCTGTTGACTCAACGGAAGGCGCAGTGGTGCTGCCTGCAGGCAGCCAGCCTTGCGGCGCTGACAGTCATTGGCTTCGACGAGACATCATCACAGTACCCCACAGATACCAGACATCTCCTAGCTTCAATGAGACTGTGGCCTGAAGACGTATTTGATCGACCTCTTCACGTATGCTGATTGATCAATCAATGTCCCGAGACTCGTGTAGTACTGTGAGAGCGTGGTGAGGGCTGACCATGACGTCATATCACGAGCCTTCGCCCTTCAGCCATGTGACTCTGGTAGGGGCACAACAACAGAACCTCGAAACATAGGACATTCCGCCCTTTCGATAGCAGAGAGCTGCATCCGTTGAGGGTGCGATGTCGTGCACAGCCAGCAGGCGGCCTACTCTAGAAGCTCCACCAACCCCGCACGAGGTTTAGCGCCATCTGGGGCTTCATCTTTCGCTAGCTTTCACACTCGAAATCCATCATCCGAACCTGTGTCGCGGTACGCCTACTAAGAAACAGTTGCTGGATCCGCTTCTTGTCGCTACCATCTGATGAAGGTCACCTGGCCATCGTCTTGTATCCTAGAGATCATGGCGCGTACCGGCACGAAGGGTAGGCGTCCAGTTGTGTAGCTCAATGCTCTTCCTCAGATGTGATTACAGCCCCGAGTCAGACAAGTTGTCTGATGTTGCTGTGAAGCTCAAACTTTTTGTTCGCGATTCCTCGCCAGCTGGAAACCAGACATGCTTCGTCATCAATGTCGCAACTCTCGAAGCTAGCCCCTAGTGTCTAGCATCACGCTACAGAGGTGTTAGGCATTAGAATTGTACTAATTATTTATTTAGTTCTAAAGTATTTTTACTACTATTATAAACTAATTATTTTTTATTATAAAAAAGTATTCTTTACTTTTATAGCTTTAGTTATAATTTTAGTAAAATTTTCTTTATAGTATTATTATACTTCTTTTAGCTAAAGTTACTTAGTATTTTTAGTTAAAAGTAAATTAAAAAAATTATTATACTAGTATTAAAAGCGCTAATTATAAAGTTATAAAACTAAGTAAAAGCTTTATATTCTTACTTTATAAAGATATAAACTTTTACTAGTATAGTTACTATAAAATATATAAAAAAAAACTTAGCTTTAGCTTACTTATAAATTAAAGCTTTTATTTTATATTAGTATTTTCTTTAGTTAAGCTTACTAGTATTATAATAAGTAGTAATATACTTAAGTATTTTATTTTACTACTAGACTAAGTTCTAAAATAAAGTAGCTAATTTATATTTTTTATATATAAAGTTACTAGTATTAGTAAGTATATAAATTAGCTATATATTTTTTATAATAAAGATAATATTTAGAGTATTATAAAAAAATTTAAGTATTACTTATATAGAATTTTATACTTTAAAAATAAGTAACTATAGTATTATAAGATTTATACTTATAGTATAGCTACTTTTACTACTATACTAAAAACACTTATTAAATTACAAGTTAAACAACCTAAATTAGACACCTTAAAGCTAGTTAGACCCTAAGCCACGCACACGTAGGAAGGCGCATCTCCGAAAGCAATTAATTGTCGTCTCTAGCTGCTAAAAGTCCGTATGGCGCAGCATCAAAGACATGCTAGACTTGATCGGATTTAGGCTCGAAAAGAGAAGAACAGGCTCCACAATCTAAGTTCAGTGTTTCGACGGAGTGAAAAGTTCAATGTAATACGTGATATGTGATCCAAGTTATCTCAAAAGGCTCGGCTATAGGCTAGGCTCAACTGCGGATATAACATGACGGCCCGGTGCAATTCAATCTGACCGCACCGAGATGATGTTGAGTAAGCCTACGCCGTTGGGCACAACTCAAAGAGAGAGCTCCAATCTCTTGCATCGGCATCGTGGAATGTGGCGCAGACGGTCGTCTTCACCCGAAATACGCTCATGCGTTTATACGCTGGAACCTGGTAGACTTCTGCAGGCTAGACGTAATAGGCGCTATTTCCACGCGGAGCGGGGTATATAGCGTGAACGACTCATGCAAGTCCTTGCACAGGACGACGACATCTAGATTGACCACCACCAGCGATATGCCTTGAAAGCGCGAAGCTAATACACCGCGACTACGTTGATTAAGTTGCGATCGTCACACTGGAAAACGGGTACTCGGATATTGCTGGTATTCTTAGGACTCGGAGCCAACGTGGCTAGCGATGTTCTTGGGTAGGGATCGCAGACTATCGGTGTACCGCGAGGTACTTTTGACATTCAAGGTACTTTGTACCGTTTACAACGTAGTGACCGATCGAGAGACACAGCCAAGCATGGCGGATGGTTGACGACATGCCGAACAACGTACCGTCGGCTCGTGTCTCCGCTTGGTATTGACGCGATGCTGCTCTGAGAGAAGAGGTGTAGCACAAATGGGTCAGTATCGGGGTCAAGTTACTCAGACTAGATCAGTGACGTGAGTGACTTTCGTTGTACCACCTGCCGAGTGGGGCGGCCCACGAGAGCGTCCTGGTGCTTACTAGATCATCCGGTGGAAAAGCTCTCAAGCGCACCTGGTCGGCTGCTAGTTGCTCGACAGCACACGCCGAGGCAACGGTCCGGACGTAAACGTGAGCTTGCAAAACGGGAGCATGTCCTCAAAGAGTTTTCCCGAGGATTCGCCAATGTATAATGCGGGTGCTCCAGGTAATACTGGGGTCTACCCCGAGGAGCTATACCGCCGATTTCTCAGCCCAACGGAATGTCGGACCTCACAGCAGACGCTACTGAGCAGATGCTAGAGACCAAGGTTTGCGACTTTGCGGCGCAGTTGAAGACGGAAGCATGGAAGCTCGAATACGACACCAACCCCGCACTGGGTGTCTTGCCCTGGCCTTGGACGTCTTGAGCCAGCGAGACAGGGCGCCTCACGCACCTCCCACTGCGAGCTTGGCTGTTCTGTGGCGCTCGGAAAGGGCTTTTGAGTGTGAGCTTATATGCACGTCCGGGGTTGACGTAGGTAGATGACGATGTACACGGCCAGGGTCATTCAACGCGCGCCCGTGCGCGTAGCTCAAGGGAGACGGGAGAGAAGCAATATTTCTTCTTTCCCTTGTGGAGCTACCCTGACGTGATGCAGCTGCGAGAAGTCGATGGTCGCTGCATATGCGCAGCAGTCTTGACTGGAGACGGACCATGTGATGGGGCTTCCAAGGAAACATCGGGGCCAGAAGAACACAGCGGAGGCACCGGGGTGCGCTCCATCGAGTCATTGAGGGCTTAGGGGCGGGGATCAGCAGGTTCTGCACACGTCCCCCGCAGAAGAAGAGGCAGCCGCTTGCGCCTGGGGTCGTGACGGCGCATGGTGCTAGGGGACGGGTAGCTGGGCGCTGGGGAAGCTATGCCCTGCCCTTGTCACTTGCTGCTCGCGGCTGTGAATAAAGCTGTCAAGGCGCCCGGAACATTTGGCCTGTGTCTGCGAGCGCTCTCAACTCCTACTTGCATACTACCACAGTAGATTTATATTACTGTGTTGTTGTATCTCAATCGCCGCGTTTCCCAGCCAGCCGACGCCATGCTGTGGCTTGCACAAGCATTGTTTGCGGGCCTTGCCCACGCCCAGGTATGTTTACACATTCTCTAATTACGCACCACAACGCCGTTGGCACTGCAAGATATTTGTATTCAAGCTGCAGAGATGCTGCGCGATCTTGCGCATCTTGTTGTTGCTCTCTTCCCCTTTCTGCGCGCAGTACAATTCACCCCTGCAGCTGTGTTTACGAGCTTACGCTGATCATAAACAAGTACTCCAACAACACGGGCTCCAACGACACCAGCAGTCCATTGAACTTTGCAGAGAGTCCTCCATACTACCCCAGCCCGTACGTACAAATTTCGGCATTTTACAAGTCATTAGCCGTAGAAGTGGGCTTGACAGGTGTGGGGAAGAGCGAAGGAGCGCCGGCTCCACTTAGCTTTCACATGCGGCAGTTGCATCGCGACATGACCGAGCTTCACATCTGGAACACAATTGCTGACTCGAAAATAGCTGGGCAGAGGACACCACCGGCGACTGGGCTGATGCCATCACCAAGGCAAAGGCATTTGTCAGCCAGCTTACTCTCATCGAGAAAGTGAACCTCACCACCGGAACTGGATGGCAGAGTGACGCCTGCGTTGGCAACGTTGGCGCCATCCCCCGTCTCGACTTCGACCCTCTCTGCTTGCAAGACAGCCCTTTGGGTATTCGTTTCGCCGATTACGTCTCTGCTTTCCCTGCAGGTGGCACTATCGCTGCATCATGGGACCGTGGCGAGTTCTACCGCCGTGGCTACCAGA